CCTGGGTGCCCTCGGGTGTACCTGGGTGCCCTTGGGGTGTACCCTCGGGGTGTACCTGGTTACCCTCGGGGTGTACCTGGGTGCCACCGGTGCAGGCGCTGACGATGGGGCGATAGTGGGTGTGGGAGCAGCGAGGACACCCCTCGGCTGTCACCCAGAGGAAGTGGAAGGTGCAGCCGTCGCAGGTGCCCTCGGGGCATTTACTGGTGGAGACAAAGAAAAAAAAGAGGGGTGAGGTGGAGGTGACAGCACAGAGGGGACACAGCCAGGGGGATAGTCCAAAGTGGGGACCAAGTGCCCTTGAGGTAACTGTTGGAGTGGGGGACAAAAAAAGAGATGTCAGGTGGTGGTGACAGCCCAAAGTGGGGACACAGCCAGGGGGATACCCCAAGGTGGGTATCAAGTGCCCTCGGGGTAATTGCTGGGAGAGGGGGACAAAAAAAAGAGGTGTCAGGTGAAGGTGCCATCACAAAGTTGGGGACATAGCCAAGGGGATACCCAAGGTGGGGATCAAATGCCCTCGGGGTAACAGCTGGAGTGGGGGACAAAAAACGAGTGTCAGGTGGTGGTGCCAGCCCAGAAGGGCACAGCTGGGGCAATAGCCCAGGGTGGGTATCAAGTCTCCTCGGGTAATTGCTGGGACAAAAGGGGAGGGATCAGGTGGAGGTGACAGCCCAAACTTGGGGACATAGCCAAGGGGATAGCCCAAGGTAGGTATCAAGTGCCCTTGGGGTAATTGCTGGGGGGGACAAAGAAAAAAAAGAGGAGGGTGAGGTGGTCCACAAACACCCCCCAGCGTCCCCAGTGTCCCTCTCGATTTCCCCAGTGTACCCCCCTAGGGTCCCCAGGGTCCCCAAAGTGAAACACCCCAGGGATGAGTCCCTCCCTACCAGAAGGAGATGGTGGGGTCACCCTGGGGTCCCCAGTGTGTCCCCCCGGGGTCCCCAGTGTGTCCCCCAATGTCCCCCCCAATATCCCCAGTGTCCTCTCAAACACCCCAGGGATGAGTCCCTCCCTGCCAGAAGGAGATGGTGGGGTCACCCCGGAGTCCCCAGTGTGTCCCCCCGATGTCCCCAGTGTGTCCCCCAGATGTCCCCAGTGTGTCCCCCCCGATGTCCCCAGTGCCCCCCACCTGGGCACAGCCAGGGTGCCGGTGCCAGGGCGCAGGGGGTCGCAGCGCAGACGGATGGTGGTGGCTCGGCCACCACTGCAGGGCT